GTACTGATCGCTCTCGATCTTAATTAGGACTTTAATCTCATGATTAAGCTTATTGATTAAAGTCTTCAGGGTGGGGTCTTTATTGCGATAAAATAAACGACGGAGTTTCCTCCGCTCCTTAATTGTATTGAGGGTTTCTACAGAGAGATTGTAAGGCTTATGGGAGGGAGTCGTCTTGGAGACGGCAATATCCTGGGCGATTTGAATCGCTTCAGTGATGAGAGTGACTGCTTCCTCCAGTTGGGGGACGGTCTCAAAAGGGAGAGAATGAGGAAGGAGGGTCTCCAACACGTCCTGGAAACAATGCCAGTCAGCGCTACGAAAATCAAAGCGAGGGAGGCTGGTTGAAGGAGGAGGGAGAAGTTACAGTTAATGAGGATGGGCACATGATCGATCCGTACGTCTTCTCCTATGGAGAAGTTATGGAAAAAAGGGAGGAACTGTGCATTGCCCAGTGCTAGGTCGATTCTGTACGAATTTCCTAGTCCTGGACAGTGGTGGGTAGGGCTGTCGTCATTTAAAATAGAGAAACTGCTGGAGGCTATGAAGTCGCTGAGTATGTTACCAGTTGTATTGGGTTCCGAGCAGAAAGAGAGATCAGGAGAGTGGGCGTTTAGATCGCCTAGGAGAAGCGAAGGGCCGTTAATTTGGCTGATAAAGTCAAGATCGGAAGGGGAAGGAGTGAAATTAGGAGGAAAATAAGCATGGAAGACAGAGAGAGTTGTTATGGAAAAACGAATTTTAACTCCAATTATCTCCGAGTCAATTTGCCAAGAGCGGCTAATTAATTCTGCGTCCAGGTTACTGAGAATGTAAACTGCTGAACCACCACAGTACGGCCTTTTCTGAAAGGAAGGTTTGTGACAGTAGTAATTCCTAATTAGAGTTGGCTTTATACACTTCAGTTCGCTGAGGCAGAAAATGGTGGGATTAGTTTGCTCTATGTATTGCAGGATTTCAGGGCGCTTGCCTCGGAAGCCGTTACAATTAAGGTGAAGTAGAGTAACTGTATGAGAGGACATTGCTAAGCGGAGTGGAAAGGACAGTGGGGGTGTGGCCGAAGGAAACAGTAAAGCCTAGCACGCGTAGGGTGGAGATGGTGGCTTCCATCTGCTTTAGGAGCAGCTGGATGACAGTTAATCTCGGGAGAGGGAGAGATCGCGGGGAACAGGGACGCTGAGACGTCCGCGGAAGGGGGGGGGTGTGGCGGCGGATGCGAGGGGACGGACGCGGATGTGGGGGGAGGGGGCGCGGGGGCCGAGGGCGGACGCGAGGGAGGTGCGGCGCGAGCGGGGACGGCCTGACTCGCGAAGGGGGATGTCCAATCGGGACGCGATGGGGGCGGGGCGGGGACGAGCCTGATGTGCAGCCTAGCTGGGGGCGTAGGGATAATGGGAGCCTCAGGGCCTGGATACCCTTCTGCTCGACCAGGATCTTCCTGGCAAGGAGCGAATGAGCGAACCTGGAGTCACGGGCAATCTGCAGTCGTTTTTCTTGCCGTTTGGTGCAAGCGGCCGAGTTTGCTGCGTGTGCTCCTTGGCACTGGCTGCATTTAGGATGCAAGCCGTTCAGCATTGCCTGGCAGGTTTTGTGGGTATGGCCCTTTCCTGAGCAGTACGAGCACACGTCGCGTTCGGCCTTGCATTATCCTATATAGTGGCCGTACTGCAGGCATTTAAAGCATTGAATGATTTGTGGATAAATCACGAATTCTTTTACGCGGAAGCGGAGGCAGCCGATTTTAAATGCGCCTTCCTTGAGTATGGTGCGCGCGTTCTGGAGGGGTTTTAGGAGGGAGGGGTTTGCGCTTTAACTAGGAGGGGAGGGGCGCGGTGGTTTTGGTTTTTTGCATCCTGATGATGCCATTCTCAACAAATGAAATTCCATTCTCAAGTGCGAGAACGTCGCGGACCACATTAATGTCCTGGTCCAGGCCGAGGCCTTTAATTACAAATTTGAGGACGGGGATACGCCCACGCGCGAGATAGGCCTCGCCTCCTATGCCTGCTTCATTCCACCTGCTCGCTACACGGGCGACGTCCGCGGGTTTGCTGAGGGAAAGGACAAAGCCTGCGCGGGTTTGCTTGAGGTTAAGCAGGGGGCAGTTGGGAAACGCGCACGAGAAGGCGCGAGCGAAGCGAGTTTTTGCTGGTACTTAGGCGGAAGGGATTGAATGAATAATGGGTTCGCGAAGAAATTGGGATTTCCTTGAGCAGGGTTGGATGAGTTAGTGGGTGTGGGGCTTGAGTGCACGGGGGAGTTGCCTGGGGTAGTGGGAATGTTTTGGAATGGGCAGGTGAAAGATAGGGTGCGTTATTTGCTGTATTAGAGGATGGATGTGGAGGGGAGCGCGAGGGGCTGGCAGTTGGTTGGCGAAGGGGGAAAGAAGTTCGCGAGATGGCGGGGGGCGGTGGAGGTGTGTGAGGAGGAGGGGGCAGGAGAAGCTTCCCGCCTGGAGCGAGGTGAGGGGTTGGAATAAACGGAAGTAGGTGGGAGAGAGGTCTTCCTCCGGGTCCTCCTTTTCACCGGCATGGTGCCGTACAAAAAAAAGGAGAGATGTTAATATATGGGCGGGAGTGCAGATGCAGGAGGATATTGGCGAGAATGCAGGAGAGACCTGATAAAGCGTTAGAAACAAAGGTCCTTAAGAGGTAATTAATAACGCAGGTGCAGTATAAGAGAGAGGGATAGGTCTTAACAAGGACAATTTGCTGGCTGCCGGAACAAAGAGCCCCGGGAGATGGGGTGAGGGATTGATCTGACCAAAAAAAAGCAGGGTTAGAACAAGCTTGAGCCAGAGAGTGGACTCTAGCTGAGGATCTTCCGTAAGACATTGTTCGTAGGGGCTCTCATAGGGAATATGAGTTTGATTATTTCTTGGACTCCATGATTCTGTCTCGAATATGTGGATAACTAATGACGAATTATCTGACTTTATTGATTGCTATTATGAAACTAGGCGAGACATATAGCGAGGTACTAAACACTCCTGTGAAGGACGATTACAGGGTAAGAGGGAAGGGTACTTTTCTGTACTGTGAGAAAAGCGAGACCTATTCCTACATCTAGTGGCCTGAAGGATAACTTCAATTGCCGTCGGGAACATTGGATCACCGCATCGATCCAATATTGAATGAATAATGATATAGCAATATCGGAATTTCATTGTTTCTCCAACATTCACCCAATATTGGCAGTATTGCCCAAGATCTAGCCAACGTACCCAATGTCGGTCCAGCATTGGGCCAATATCTGGTGCTACTGGGGTCAAGCCTGACCAAGAGAGATTCGGTGGTTTGGTCCCCTGTAATGGAGCTGAACAATTACGTACGGAAATGCAATCTCATGAACAATTACGTACGGAAATGCAATCTCATGAACAATTACGTAAGGAAATGCAATCTCATGAACAACTACGTAAGGAAATACAATTTCAATCTAAGCCTGCTTAATTCACCTGAATGTCACACCGTATGTTGGCATTTGACGTTGGCACAATGTGCGGCCGCGGGACAAGCCTACGTTGGCCCAACGTTGGAAACCAATGTTGGCACCACATCGCCAATGTTGAATTACAACATAGGCCTAACGCTGGCCCCACGTGTATGTGCTGCCGAGGTAGTAACTCAACTTGAACCTGCGACCTTGCAGCACCCCAAGCATCTGTGCAAAAGGAAGGGTCGAAAATTCACACTTTAACCCCTTAACAGTTATTTTTCCAATGATTTGAACGGAAAATGTTAATATTAAATGTAGATTTTGTTGCTATAGATTTTGAACAAAATCTATGTGTAACGTTTTATTCATTCAATTCCGGCAAGTCAAGAACAAAACAACGAAACACGAGTCGCCCTTGTCTCGTGCTGGCAAGTCAGTTTTTAGGACAACATCACCCGCATCAGAGAAGAGCAAATCACGGAAGCAGTTAAAATATTGTGGACGTGGCTCGTGGCCATTTCCCCATTTCGAGTCTCTTGCAGGTTTTGCTAAAATTAGGCGAAAATGAATTGGTCGAAAAGGAAAATGCCGAAAGGGAAAATTGCGGAATACCAAAATGTCGAAAGTAAAATTGTTGAATCAAACTTTTTCAAGTCATGGAATCCACAAGGTACAAACACTCAAGTCGACCATTTAGAAGTTTAGATTGCGTGCGATGGCTCGCAGATACTCCACGGCACCTCCATTGTTGTAATCATCACATATTACTTTTAGTCGTGCATCGCGGGTGGCATCCTGCATCCTCCGTTTTTTTTTAAGAGTGGCCCATTTCTCGCCTGGCAATCTCCCGTTCCACATATGCTTGCTCCTTTTGTAATGCTTCAAGGAGGTGAAACACATTAGGATGACACTTTCCGAGGATGGAATTTAAACGGTGATGCCACCCTTCAAGGTCATTAGATGTCCGAGGCTCGCAGGAATTGATGCGATCAAGCACATTCCCCATGATCGGCGGAAATGCTGCATACTGCGGTCTCCCACGTGATCGGCACCCGTTAGCGTATAATTCCCTGAAAAAGGCAGTCACCGGCGCGACTTCCGGATGCATGGTGGGAAGAAGTTCTTCAAACAGATGGGGAACATCCAAAACTGGGACGAATGCCAGTGAATACCAACGAATACTAACATCCGTATTGACAATGAGAAGGATTCATCTGAGGAGTATGCCGGGCTAATACTCTTGAACTTTTCTCCTCAGATTCTGACTGAAATGGAAAAAGCATCCATTGTGTTCTACTGATGGCAAAACCTCCTGGACTGCTGACATCATGCCACTCTCAAAGTCTGTCATGATATGTCTGAGGGAAACAGGAAGATTATTCTCTTCTAAATAATCCATGGCTGTAGTGAGCATGGGTTTATAGGAATTAGCACACTTACCACTCATCAATCCATACAATAAGGGAAACCGGGATACGTGGACTTCTGCATGGAGTGTGTACTGCTGCGCTAATGATTCATTCTTGACACGAGGGGCAGCAGCGAAGGTTCCATCTGAATACCATCTGGTAGCACGACATAGATGCTCCATATTCTCATTAGTCGCAAACAGCAACATCAAGGGACTGGTCTCATGACCGAGCAACCATCTATCACTGTCCAAGGTCATCTTGTAGGATGGTGGTAGAAGAAGATGATCCAATAAATCTGGCAGAGCTGGTACATCGTTACGCCGCTCTTTGCACTGTCCACCTCAGGGAATTAGTACAAGGAAGATTTTACAAGGAAGGAAGGATTACAAGGAAGCGTTTGGACTCCCGTGCGACCTGTCCGACAGAAATATCTGACCTGTATTTGTTACTGTATGTCTAACGATATGTCCTAGACATGCATGTCAGTGTAAAATTACATCACCTCAGATGATATAACGGCTGCAGTGGCTTCATTCGTTTCAGTTCTTTTCCTCTTCGGTGAAGCTTGAAAGTTCCTCTTCGGAATAGCTGAAGCTACAGGAGCATCGTTAGTATGAACTTCTGCAGGTTGTTTTACTAGATATTCACCCTCAGTCACTGCTCTTGCATTGTAGTCGCGGTTCTGGCATCTCCAATAAGTCTTCTCGCCAGAATGCTTGTCTTTGGAGAACATATAACTAGTAGCCTTCTGGGAAACACTGAAACGGAGTTCGCTACTCTCTGCCATGCCTTGCACACTTTCACACGCCTGGCCACACTGTATGAATTGGGAACCAGAACTCAACATGGTCTCAGTCTCGAGCACTATCTCTCCGTCAATAGGAGCTGGAGAACAAGCTGAAAGATACCAAGTCAGCCTCAGGTCATGACTCGGTCGACTAGTTGGGTTCATTTTCGTGTGAATTCCAAGATTTCGACATTCTAAGAGTTTTATTGATAGAAAACTTTTCGCGTTCGCCTTCTTCGATATTCGGCGAATGTCACATTCACCTTTTGTTTTCGGAGATATTCTGTCCCGGCGACGATTTTCCTTTGGGACATTTTTGCTTTTCGACCTTTTCTATTTCCACTTTTTTTTTTAGAAGAATCTCTTTTGCACACGACCAATTGATTTAGTGATATTTGCATCGAGCTCACACTTTCTAAGTCTTCCAGCAGTGCGTCCGTCCCTGGGTCTCCAGACATGCAAAGAGAACAACTGCGCGTCTTGTCATACGGAAATAACTGTATTTTCAAGCACTAGGTCACCTTTCTCTGAATAAGAGTATTCTCCTTCTACCATGCACATCATTTGTCACGTGTCAACATATCGCAATCATGGGATATGTTGACATGAAAAAGTTTAGGATTTAGCCGCTGTTGCTTTTAACATACAATAAGTAAATCCAAGTAGTAAATCAGAAACTAGACAATATGCTGGGAAGAAACGAAGAAGTTGTACTCGAATGAGGCAGTGTGGAAGTGATTGCATCAATAGGACAAGAACTTTCCAGTGGAGTGCGATGTTGAAGATCATCGAGAACTAATTGTATCGTAGGCGGCTCTGATCTGATTTAGTATTGTTGCCTTTATACAAGTTAGGTCGGGAAATCTCTCGCAGATGGGTGATTGCCGTACTTATACTTCTATTAGAAAATGATTTGGCAGGTGGATAATGCAACACGATTGTAGTCAGATGGATATATGGGCCTGGTTTGTTCTGAGACTACGGATGACTACAGACTTGTGAGATTACAGGGACTGTCCGAAAGATACAGATCTTCCTCCAATGTTGTGAACTCTAAATGACGTCTCGCTATCCTCCTCCAATGTTTTCGCACTTCTGGGTCTCGAGGGAACCAAGCGTCCTGTCCTCGCCCAGTTGCTGCAACGAAATCTCAGGTAGAATCGAGATTCGAGTGGAGGTCAAACCGAGCAGGTGGTACGTACGTCCATGTCAACAGAGCTCGAGGTTCGTGACACGTGGACGGATTGGCGGCCTTTCATTCGCAGATGGAGGAGCGCCTTGTGAGCCGTTCCACTTCCTTTATGGGTGGATCCACGAATGGAATCGGGTCAACCGAGCTCTGGAGAAGTCGTCCAGCCGCAGACTCTTGACAGGTTTAAAAGCTTAGAGAGAGCTCCTAGCTCGAGCTGCATAAGTCGTGTAAGCGACCGACTGCCTCTCTTAATGTTGGGTTATTTGTGACCGTTGAAAAGAATTTGTCAATAGGAAAAGGGGGGGGGGGCAAGAAATGCCAAACAAACGTGCTGGCTACGTGAACATCCGAGAGATGGCGCCCATATATCCATATTTCATGTTTGCTACAGTATTAATGATTATCGCGAACAGATCGCCAGCGTGTTCGAGGTTGTACTGACTCCAAATACTCCTCTTTAACAATATAATACGTTTATTATGAAAACCAAGGTTGAGAGCGATCAATAGAGATAAGGATCTCAACGAATGGAGGAGAGAGTCACAGAGGCTGATTGGTGAGCTTAATATAAAATACATAGAAAAAAACAATACCTGTGTATTTGAGGTGGGGACAAAACTTGAGAACGTTGCGTTACTTGAATGCCTGGTTGTTACTCTAATGTGGTTTTGTGATTATTTTCCCACTTCGGAGGTGGGAAAACCATTGGGTTCCACAGAACATCCCCGTCTACTTGACTCTCTCTGTTCTCTACTCGCGCGGCCCTTTTATTCTTATATCTCAGGTATGCGTATTTCCGTTTAGGGTGATTAAAGCCATGTTACAAAAAGTGCCTCTTACAGATTCAACAGGGGAGAAGCCGATTGAAGTTGAGGATGGAGGAGAAAAGAACCTGGAAAACTTAGAAAATTTCAAGAAGTTCACGAGAGACAGGGGAGGAGGAAAACACATTCTTGTCGATGAAGTTCCCCTCACACTTGGATACCAGGAGGCCATTAATACAAGAGAACTTTCCTCACACTGGAATTGGCTGGTAGAAATGAGAAATCATGTCAGCTCAATGACTTTCGCCTTTAGACCCAATGACGAGTCCTACACGAAGGACTTCCTTCTCAAGGATGTCAATCCAGGAGGTATCCCAATCAAGATTCTCCAAGAGGTGAAAAGGAACAGCAGGAATATAGCAAACCTCTTCCTGGGCATCGCCGACTTTTCGAGAAGAGTTTTTATATCTTCTGAACGCACCTACAACTTCAATTTCATAACTGCTAAGGGTCCAGAAGGACAGCATCTTCCCCGCTTGTTCGTGATTCCCTCATGTCAGGCCATTCATCGCGAATGCAGGCCTACGTATGAAACGGGCCCCTCAACGCAGAAATTCCGAATGATCTGTCAGATTTTCAGGGGATTGCAGGCCGTTCTGGCTGTATACACAGAGTCCATGAATTCGAATAAATATCCCGTCTTCGTCGTGGTTCTTTTAAAACTCTTTTCTTTACGAGAGCAATTGCAAGAATCTAGGAGGATGGGCTGGATGGGACACGAAAAGAGGTCCATAATAATGCCTACCTTTACCGAACCCTTAGGGAGGGGTGTCCCGAGTCCCCCCCTTGTTTTCGTCACTGAGGCTGAAATGATAGGATGCTATCCGAAGAATACTGTAATTGTTTTGGATTTCCCAGAATCGAAATGGTTAAACTACAATCGACTTATAGCCGCCACTGGTGATAACAAGGTTCTTGTGATTGAAGAAGAAGAATTGGATACTGGAAAATTTTCGCATGTCATGAAGAAAATGTCTGGATGGAAAATTGATCGAGACAAACTGAAGGTTAATGAAGATTTCTATAGGGGTATGAATAGAACATTGAAGGAGAATAAGGAAAAAGAGATTAGCAAAATTGATGAACGTATATTTTCTTCGGTGCCGTCACCGCCACTCATCGATATTAACTTGGAGGCAATGAAAAAGGAAGACAAAATGGAGGCAGATAAATTATTCAAATGTTGGCTCATAGGAATATTTGGCTATCCAGCCTCAGGAAAGTCATGGAAAGTAGATCTATTGACTCAACAAGCGACAATGGCTGGATGGCAAGTCTTGCTCTTCTATAATAGATGCTTGGTATCTTCGGAATTCAGTAAACAGCGCTGGAGCTCTACAGCGAACGTGGAAGTTGTTCTGACGAGTTTAAGCCACATCCAGTCTCTCCTGCAAATAATCAACGCACATGACGTAAAGAATATGAATAAGATGGTGGGTCCCCGGGTAGTAGTCGTAGATAACTGTCCATTGCGGAAAGGATTGGTCGATGAGAAGGAAATAGACGCAATGACTGAACGACTGAAGCAGGAAAATATAAAACTCATTCTATCATTCGAGCCTCATTCAAACGACGCTCATGGGTTCATTCCAGAAGAAACTGTGAAAATGCTGGAGACGAAGCAGGACTGCACTGCTATCAGGCTCCATCCTTCAACCGACGTCCGACTCATCCGCCACATCCAGGAGAACGAGACCTCCATAAATTTAGAATTAAGAGCAAAGAACTTGCATACCTCTTCAAAGGCCAGTGCCTCCCTCGAGGGGGACAAGGTTATATTCATGAAATATGTTTGCTCTGGGAGGCACAAGGGGTACCTTTGCAGACGAAAAGCATCGCGTGAACCTTGTATCGGGAATGATGAAAGCGTCCTGTCTTTTTTCCTTAAGAAAGCTCTTTCCCTAATGCACGAAAATGAAAAGCCTCATGTTTTGGTCTCAGATGACAAGCAGCTGTTATCCTTGAAGAAGGCTTTTGAAGAGCATCTTAACATCCAATTCTCGCATCCGATGGATTTTCGTGGCTACGAGAGTTCCGTAGTGATCTCCATCAACCCTACCGATGAATGGCTGCTGGAAGTAGTTTCGAGGAGCAGGCTTCAATTGATCATAATGGACAACGACCCATCCCATGATGACTTATGGGAGACAATGGTTCGAGAGAAGCGACTCCAACCTCAGGGTGTCCGCATTTCTGAAGATGTTGAGAAACGCAAATTAAAGTCACTCCTCAACTTTGATCATGAAGGAAAGTTTCTCAAGGTGAGTCTCTCCTCTTCCAATCCATTCCAAATAAATCAGAATATCCCGGTTTAAGATGCAAAGAAACCTGTCCAGTTTTTCTTCATGATGAATTCCAATATGTAAAAGAAAAACTAAATAATGCAATAATATACATGCTTCACTGAATACATGAATTTCATATTTGAAAGCAATCCGACATACCACTAATGATCTCCAATCCAGAAGAAGACAATAGTCTTCACATCTCAAGAGATTCTGATTTCATATTTCAAATCATTCGCAGAACTCTACCAAAAACTGTATTAGCCGTTATCATCAGTCCCTGGCAAAGGGATTAAAACTAGTGCCAGGTAAACCTGCTACAAATCGAAGGAAATGAAATGCTCTGCTGTCGTGGAAGGAGTCACCATGAGTTTCAAAGATTACCACCCCTGTGACACCCGAACGTGCTCAATAAACGTTTCATTTAAGTTATTGTCAGCGTCCTATGAACGCCCTTGGGAACGTTCAATTGACTGCCTCAATTTCCAAAATTAAAAAGCATGACAAAGAGTTAAAATTGTGTTCCCTAAACTACATGATACATGAATTCGTCAAGGACGGGAATTCTATATTTCCAAGAAATGGTTCAATATAACTTTCCTTTACAGGATTCACCCAATATGCAATTAGCTTTTTGGATACATTATTTTCATCAATTGAACTGCATTCAATCCAAGTAGTGCCCCACTCACGTGGCTGAGCTCAATAGCCATAATGTAACCTTTTAGCACAGAGTAGGGGAAAACTAGAGGCGACTCACCGAGGAATGAGGGGGGGGGATAGAAATATTACAGACATCTTGTGGGTTGTTATCAAGAGCACTTCCATGAGGCGTGCTTCGGGGCAGCGGAATCAGGAATGGACTCTATCGGAAATTCGACCCAAATGGATCCCGCGACGTAACAGGCATGTCTTGCTGGGTCCGCTGCTCGGCAATGGAGAAGTTGCTGATGTGCACACGTTAGGTGAAGGATTAACAGTGACATCTACATTGCGACCCAGTCAATGAATGGAATTCGAGAAGAGTGTCGCATCAGATAGTGTCATCGCTCCTACGTTTCAACTAAATTCCTCCAGATTTCATTGAAGTGCATGTCTAAGAATACCCTCAGACAGTTACACATTGAGACTTATCGCCAGTTGTCCGGAAGCTTCAATTGAATTGAGTACCGTCAGTCGTGATCGTTTCGTATTTGTTTAGCGAGAATCTGTGCTAGCTGGATTCCATACTATTTGGCACTTGAACAAAAACAAAAACGTGTTGAAGTGTGTGAGGTCATGCTAACACAGTTCGAGCGAGAAGGTGAAATATTTCTCGGGCGCATAGTGACCGGTGACGAGACATGGAATTACCATTATGATTCTGAAACTAAGCAGTAGTCAAGTGAATGGAGGCATTCAGATTCACCGCGCCCCAAAAAGGTTTGTGCCATCCGCTCAGCCGAGAAACAAATGGCACTTGTGTTTTTTTGCAAAGGTATTCTCGTCGCGCAATTAATGGTGGTACAACCATCGTGATACAACCTTGAATAAGGAAGCACGTGTCGAAGCTCTACTGAAAAAATACCGCTGTTGTACAAAATGTAATCGAAGCTTTTGGTGCAGAGATGTTGCCACAACCTCCCTACTCTCCCGACCTCGCACCATGTGATTTCCTCTTATTCCTGAAGTTAAAGGAAAAGCTAAAGGACTGCCATTTTGGTCCGGACGAGGAAGCTCAAATTGCCAAAACCAGGACACTACGTAATATATCGAAAAATGGCTTGGAAGAGGCTTTCAACTGTTGAGTAAAGCGATGGCGCAAGTGTATCCAGTTTCAGGGAGAGCATTTTGGGAAGGAAAATGCAGCCGCGGACCACGACGACGACAATGTGTAGTCACGTTGAAAGGAGGGCGAGACTGCCCGTTTTCGTTGGAACAGAAACCATTATATGTGATGATATGGAAAGTAGTACTATATCCTGGCATCGGTGGTGAAATGGTAGCGAACCGGTCCGGAGGTCCGTGTTCGAGTCCCGGTCCTCCTAAGGTCTTCTTCCGTCCAGTCCCGACAGCGTCCTCTACTTTCGGTTCTCAAGACATATGTTCCAAAGAAAAACTCAACCCTTAAACTTTTTCATGCTGTGATTTTGCGTTTTTTCCATATACCCTAACTAACCTCAGAAAATACAGGAAGAAGGCACATTAAGTGAGGCGCATTCCTTATATGTTTGGCCGAACGAGCGAAAAAGTCAGCCCAATTTGGGGATGATGGGTCAGTTGGATTGGATAATAATTGCGGTCAAAGACTGCTACTCTTCCTGTCCAACGGACCCATCATTCCACAGAATCATTCCACTTTCTCACTCTTTGGCTTTTGACCGAACTTGAGAAAAAATAAATTTGAAGTCCACAAAACGTGCCAACGCCATGAAGGGCCTCACCAGAACAACGAAGACTAAAACGTAAGCAAACTTAACTCGAGTACAGTGCGCTTGCACGAGAAGGTAGGAGCACAGCTAGCAGACGCAATGGCCTGGGCGAGGCGTCGAACATCCGTGCTCCAGAATGTCCACGTAGAACGTAACCATTATTAATATTATACACTCTTACCCCAACTCTTTCGGCTGAAACATATATCCTTGTAACATATTCTTAGAGTATTTTCTTGTGATATATATCTTACAACGTTCTGCGTGTAGTCCACTCCACCACCGGTCATTACGTTCCGCCGGCCACTGTAAGTGGCATGGAGAAAAAGACCCTCTGGCAGGGTATTCGCCTGCACCAAACGAGAAACTTGATTGCCGACCGAGCTGCCCGCCAAATCCGCGTGTCACATCGATCCAATAGAGTTTATCTCAATCCCGTCCCTAGCTGAAAATTTATCCTTTTGTTCAATGCCTGGGTGTTCGAAACTTCAACTACTTGCCTCACTTGAATGCTACAAGGCGGGTATGACGGAGAATTTGCATACATCCAGTTGAGGGTTCCATCGTCTCCGGCTCATTCTTTTTCCCATGAAGTAACCTTGGAAATTGAACCATCCTTCCCCTATCTTTCGAGCTGGAATTCTCTGGAAACTCCTGAGACTGGGTTACCTCTTCAGACCGATTTGTTCAAGAATTCAAGTATCTTTCTCTCTGGTTTACGTGGAGAAATGTCAGCTACAGGTACCTTGTAGAAGATATTGGGGACTAATTACAGATGTATCAGGAATCGACCCCCAACTGAGATTAATTTGGCGTCACCTTGCGTCAATTGTGCTTCAAGCCATTGTCAGATGGATACCATTGAGATAAACATCTTTAGCATTCGACGAATATCCTTGAAATGCAGCAGGGTCAAACGGCTCCTTAACTGAGCGCCAAAAAGGCGCTCATTCTTCGACATTAGACGACCAAAGACTTTTAAAAACACGTTATATGTCCTCGAAATGTCTACGAGCTACTGTGTCATGTGTATAAAACCCGCAGGTCAATTATTTCATATCGACCGCTTGAAATCCCTGGATTCACGGCAGCAGGCGGGAGGCACTGCAGAAAGCGATGCCACCGTTCCCTTGCGAGTACCAGGGTAACTCTCGTCCCCTCGTTAATCCGAGAGATGACGATTCGAGAGCGAATCTCCGATTTTCCGTGAAAGTTGCCTCTCTTCCCTTTATTGAGGCCGATTTGCAAATTTCATTTCGAAAGGCCACATTCACGGATGATAAGGAAGAGTTCGGTCGAAACCCCAAGTTCATTTTTCGAAACGTTTGGCCTGTAGAACAATCGCACACACACAAAAACAATTGTCGCTCAGCCTATCTAGTGGTCAGGATCGCGCAAGCTAAATTTTTAACCTCCGGTCTTCTGGTTCAAAATATATTTCAAACCGGAGGACCTCAGTTGCTTCGCAAGCAAGGTTCTGAGGTCGAACACATAGCGTGTGCGATTCTGGCCGCTAGCTAGGCAAAGCGACAATTGTGTTTGTGTGTGACAGATCCACAGGCCAAACGCTTCTACAGGGTGACCAGAAAGTCCTGTATATCAGGAATTTTGCTGCAGCTCTTTTAATATTTGCCTCTGAACAACAAGTCAGCAACAGAAGGAGCACAATAGTCTTAGCAACACAACAAAATTACTCATATTCAAAATGCCCACCCCTTGCATCTATACAAGCCTTAAGACGGTGCGGGAAGTCATCGACAACTTCATATAGCTGTTTTTCGGTGATCTCATTCCACGCTTTCAGAGTAGATGCTTTCAACGAGTCCAGATTCGCATGTTGTGTTGCAGAGACCTTCTTCTCCATTATAACCGTGACTGCATAATCCAGCGGATTTATATCAGGCAAATTCGAGGGGTAAGCATCTTCATCCCAAAACGGAGGAAGCAACTGTCTGCAAAGTGCTTTCGTGGACGTCACTCTGTGTGATGGCACCCAGTTCTGCTGAACTGTCCACTGGGCTTCTTCGAAATGAGAGTCCACCCATGGCTTCAGCACATCCCAATGGATGCATTCCCATTAGATTTTGGCATCGATTTTGGCCCCTTTCTCAACGAAGACGAGTGGCATCGTTCCACTTGCGGTGATTCAACCCCATACCATCACAGAAGCTGGGAACTTCTGCCATGTGACAAAAGCTGCTTCTGGACGCTCCTTCGAGTTCTTGGCAACAGAATCCGGTCATTTTGGACATCGAACATCTGTTTTAGGGTGAAGATCTTTCCGTCTGTGAAGATGACATGACGATGTTGAAGAACACTGGTCAACCGCTTCAGCTTCTCTTTTGCCAGTCAATTCTTCATCATGGCCTCCATTAAGTGATGTCACTTTCACAGTTTGTATGGGTGATATCCAAGAGCCTCCTTACACCAAATTCAAGCTTATTATTGCTTCAAACCGGTGCTGCGGCCCAATTCCCGCATAGTCTGCCTTGGTTTTCACTGAATTAGGCTTTTTAGCTTCATCCGGTTTTCAGGAGTGTTGGCGGTTCGCGGCCTTCCACTTCTTGGATGGTCTCTTTCATGCCAAACTCCTTGTAAGGGTTAATGGCCCAGATCACAGTTCTTCTGTATTCACCAAGTGTCTTTGCGATATTGTTTGCCCTCATTTTTGCCTCGTGCAAACGGATGATGGCAGAACGCATTTTCTTATCCATCAAAAAATACAAAAGAGTGACGCTACAGAAATGAAACTTTTCGCACACAAAGACAATAATGTCAGGAAGCAAAACTGCATTAAAAGATTGCTAGGGCTTTTTTTTTATTTATTTAGTTAAAATTATGGAACAAAAGTGGACAGGACTTTCTGGTTACACTGTAGATATGAACTTTGGGTTTCGACAGAACTATTTCTTACCATCCAAGGATGTGCCTTTTAGAAATGAAAACTGCAAAACGACCATATTGTGATGTTCAGAAATGTAAGTATCCGCAATTCGCCTTATTTTAGATAATGGAGCTAAATCTGGAACGAGATATGTAAATTTGGATACCCCGGAATTTGGATATCCCGGTTGAGCAGAAATTTCGCAAATCTTTAACAGTAGGAAAGGGAGGGGAAGCAATTTTCATTGGAAATCAGAGATTAGCTATCTTCTCGCCATCTTTCGACTGAAATTGGAACCGAGAGTTGCCGTGGTTCTCCAAAGGGAACGATTGCATCGCCCACTGCAGTGCTTCCCGCCTGCTGCCGTGAATCCAGGGACTTCAAGGTCCATGATGAAATACGAGGCAATTCCTCAGCTCGTCGCCACATGCGTTCACACGGGCTTTCGCAAAGAAACCAATCATCTAATTCCCTCGTTTGTTTCCATGGCTCTACATGCTGATTTGCAGAATTGCAGGAACGACGCAAGGAGAGTCAGTGTTTTTCAAAGGGTTGGATTGTTTTCCCATATCACAGTCACATTGGTAGAAGGAAAAAAAATACTTGCGCACTGTTTGGGAGCCGGGATCATGCAAAAAAAAATACCAATACAATCATTTGCGAATTGGCGCTGTGCAGTGTACGCGTATTACTTTCTTTTTCTTCGCCTCCATT